CAATCGCGCGCTCTGAAAATCGAGTCTAAAAATCTATCTTCTCCTACATTTTTTGAGCAATCACCCTCAAACTTTCAGGATATGTTTTTAGGATCAGTTAGAAGAGATCTCTAGAGCCAGAATTTGGAGATAGGCCTTTAAAGATTTTTAATTCGATTTTGAAAATCTTGGACCTCTAAAAATCAAGGTCCAAGATTTTCAAAATCGAATTAAAAATCTTTAAAGGCCTATCTCAAAATTCTGGCTCTAGAGTTCTCTTCTAACTGATCCTAAGAACATATCCTGAAAGTTTGAGGGTGATTGCTCAAAAAATGTAGGAGAAGATAGATTTTTAGACTCGATTTTCAGAACGCGCGATTGAAAATTGCTCGCGCAATACAATTACTCATAAGCGCTGACCTTTGACCGGCGATAATTTCGGCTAGGAACACTATTTTTCCATGGGACTAAAAGCATCTGATAGATATCACTCCCCTCTATCAGAAACAAATATAAACTCGATTTCGAGAGAATTTTGATGAAGACCCCCCCCCCCCCCCCCCCCCCGGCCCCCTTAAATAATATAGCTCCTCCTTACTTAAAAGAGTTGATATCTCCTAGGCAGCAAAGTTTTAAAAATGTACGTCTTGATAATGATTATTTTTACCTTAGTTTTCCGCCCTCTCCTAACTATGTAAACACAGAGAAAGCTTTTAGTCACTGTGCAGTTAAAGTATTTAATTCCTTGCCATACGACATAAGATCAGCTGAGTCAGTTACATCTTTCAAGACCAAACTTAAAACATACTTCTTTTCTCTAGCATTTGATTGATTTTGCATTTACATAGGTAAAATGAACTTGTCATGTCTAATTTTCAATTAAACTAAGCTCAGTTAATGTAAGAGCCGCTTTAGAAAGCACTGGAGTTTATCTCCAGGATTAAATTATATCGAGTTATATAATTTAGCTATAAGGCGGTTTATAAATGTTGTATTTATTATTATTAATATTATGTATTTGTTAACTTTTCAAAACAACATATTTTATGGCTATGATTGGCAGAAGAACTATCAAATAATGAGTTGAAAGGGTTTTGAGGACACCTCACAGTAGAAAAAAGGTCTCGTATTCTGAGTGTGACAAAGTTTACGAAATGTTGCCTTTAAGCCGTTCGATCACTGCCCTTTAGGCATACATTGTATCATAATTGTTAGATTGACCTAATCTACTATATTTTAGACAAAAAAATGCTAATTGGGCAGCTATGGTAAACAATGTCACAAAAATGGGACATTCTTTACATAATAGTGCCTAAAAGCAATACATTTTATTTTTGAGCAGTGCATATGGGAGTATGGGTCACGTGGCTAATGTTCAGAACTTATGAACACGCTAGATTAATATATGTTAAAATTAAACCACTATCGTCAAAAGCGCTGTTTTAGAAATTTACCAATTTCCTCAAACTTCAATGAACGTGTCCATATACTAATCTCAAGAAAACAACAATTTTCAAGAAAACAATCTCTATTCGGTTGTATGTTTATGAACATGTTTGATGTTGTCATACGTTGTATGACCCGCCGCGCACGAGTGCGCGGCTCCCCCTGTATCATAGAAACTCTACCATAGTGAAACTACCGTGGGGGTTACGACGTAATACAATTCAATGAACATGATAGCCTGAGGTCCCCACTCCCCAGGTAAGCCAGCACTAACCAGCGCTAGCTGTCGATTAAAATCACAAATATTTTGTATTTGATTTTGATTTATCATTTATTGCGCTGGCCAGCGCTGGCTGACGAGTTATATTGCAACTTTAACATATAAGTATATAATTTTGTTGTAGCGCGATGCACTACTGGGTCGCGCGCGCATCCAATAATGCTTCCCGCAATAACCACAGATCGGCGAGATGCGAAGGATTGACATCGTGAATCAAATAGTTTTGATATATTGCACTGGCCAGCGCTGGCTGACGAGTTATATCGCAAACATTTTGCACTGGCCATCGATTTCACCTAACCATGTGCTATCGCGCCACTTCGGGCGCGCTTGTTTCACAAGGCGCGCGCGCGCTACTGCAAGCGCAAGGGCTCTGGATAGAGCAATCCATCGATGGCCAGCACTGGCTAGCGACAATTAGCGCTGGATGGCGATAACTAGCGCTGGATTGCGCTAGTTATACATTATCGAAAATTTATATTTTGCGCTGGATAGCGTTAATTAGCGCTGGATTGACCATTGTTAATGGTTTGGCCCGGCGCGCGCTACTTCGTAGCACTTGCAATCGGGCCATAACATATCGAGAAGAAATCGGCGCGCGCTACTTCGAAGAAATTTAGACGAGTAACATCCATCAAGCGCTGGATAGCGACAACTAGCGCTGGATGTCGACAACTAGCGCTATCCAGCGCTAGTTGTCGCCATCCAGCGCTAGTTGTCGCCATCTTAACGGGTGATACTCGTAAAATATTTGTTCCATTTACTGGGCCGCGCTCAGCCTGTCATTCCGCCAAATCTTTATTCAGTAGTATGTTAATGAACATAATAGCCTGGGGTCCTCAGGTAACTGTTCCATATATTCATATTGGACCGTCGACGAGTCCAACTCGAAGCACGTCCTTGGTATGTTGTAAACCTACAAAATCAAATGGGTTTTCGTGCATGAAATAGTCCATGCTTAAAGCATCAGTGATTTATAGCTTTATGGAATCCTTTTTTATCAAACTACCCCGGTCTTGCATTTCAGTGTTAACCTTTAGTTTTACAAGCCATTCGGCGTGAATTGGTTTTATATTAGCAATTAGACATCTTTAGGTTAACCTTAACATTACGTGGAGCTTTCTTGTATCACGTCGTGACCCCCATTGTCGTTTCACTATATAACTCTACCCCTGTAGAGTTTCTACGATACAGGGGGAGCCGCGCACTCGTTCGCGGCGGGTCAATGGTCATCCAACAAGAGCTTTCCAAGCACTGTTTCATTACTTCCCCTGAGTAATATGAACTATAACAACGTCGGACAATGTCCTTGGCAACAAGATTTACCGTAATATCTAGAGGCTGGAACAAGCTTGTCATGTTGGCGGGGACTAGCTCATAAACTATGTTGTTGAGTGCCACAATTTCGTCGACTTTTTCCGCCAAGTGACCCTTGAAAACGTCATATACTAGTAGAGTTTTCTGTGCCTCTGGCACTGGCAGACCAAAGAGAACCTTTCCGTCGTTAACTTACGGCACAATAAAGTTCTCATAGTTGTTATATTCTGGACAAAAAGTTCGAATTTTTGAAAAAAAGTTCGAATTTTTGAAAGACATTTAACGGACTTTAACTCGGACGGACCTTAAATGAACGGACTTTATTTGAGCGGACATTAAAATGAACTTTAGGGCCTCCAGCGTTTAATTAATGTCCGTCCAAATAAGGTCCGATAAGGTACATGTTTATGGACGTTTTTTGTTGATTAAAATAAATGTATGATTATTTGGTAGTTCGAGGTCATGATATCTTTTTTCGGATATCACATCCTCAGTATTATGATATGACCGCGGATAATATTATATGTATAATACTGGAACGATTCCGACCGGCACGGGATCCACCCGAACTACCGAATATTTGTACTCAAAAATATCGTTTGTTTAAACCTTTTTAGAGTTAGACTGATCCCGTTTTTATCTAACTTTAATCATTTCCACTGCTATAGCAAAGTATAATGACAGGATAAGACTAAGAGCACCAGGAGTCATCAAAGGTATAATCACTAAAAACAGCTGTGCCTCCAGACAATTAACTTTCCGTGGGTGGTAACGGAGAGGAACTGAGATTGCTAATTTCTTGAGATGATCATTTATATCAATCAAATTACTGCAAAATAGTCTCAAACTCATCCTCTTAGACAAAAATGCTGTCTTACTGTGCGGTGCTCAGCCTGTCACGAACATTGCATGAAGCATGTGATCTGCAAGTAAAGATGAACTGTGGTTAAGTTTGCTAATTTCTTAAATGATCATTTATTTTAATCAAATTACTGCAAAATGGTCTAAAACTCATCCTTTTAGACAACGATTTCGTCATGTAACTGAGTACCTTATTTGAATGGACACAATGTTGAACTTACTGAGTAATACGCTTTCAATTTCGTTGGAATATACACCTACAACTATAAGTAGAACAACTATTTACCTAAGGACCTTCTCTGTTCATAAACCGATTGAAAATGCACCGAAATGACAGGCTGAGCGCCGCCCAGTAAAACAACTATATTTACCAGGGTATTTTGTCAATATGATTACTGCAACTAATCATGTTTTATTGACAGCTGTATTTGCTGGAAACAAAAAGGGGAACGGAAAACGCTTTCAATTTCGTTAAAATATACTGTCATACATGACAACAAATCAACGACATTTTGTCGTCATGATTGCTGCAATTAATCATGTTTTATTGACATGTGTATTTGTCGTAACCAAACGTTGAAACAGGAAAGTTGGTTCTGACAAATATAGCTGTCAATAAAGCATGATTTATAATTGTGAATGTGATCATGTCGATTGTCGAACCCCAATATTTGTCAAAAATTTGTCAACATTTAGGAGTATGTCGCTATAATTCCCAAGATTTAATTTTAAACGATAAAAGTTATATGCCAAAGTGACTTCCTCCGTCAATTAAAATTTAAAAGCCTTTAAACGCTTCCAGCTGAGCCTGTCATGGACATTGGACAAGCTGCATGGACTGCACCAGGTATCACCAGAGGCCAAAATATTTAGCCGGCAGCAAATTTTACAAATGATCATAATAGAAATTTCAAGACAAATTTAATTCTTCACGGGCTCCAAAACTGACTTTATAAGCTTTTTATTTCGAAAAAAGTGGCCCTCTTTTTGCTTTAAAGCTATATTCAGTTTTGACCATCTCATGGCTCCAATTCTCAATTTTGGCGAGACTCAGTTCTGTCGGAAGAGATTTGTTGAAAAAAATGTAAATTGGATGATCAACAAAATGATAACAAACTTGTAACAAATGTACCTCAGACATCTCTTTCTTGTCTTTGAGGCAAACAGTAAAATAAATTACATACATTTTTGTACATTAGAAGTTCCAGGATTAAATGTACACAGTGATTTCATCTTGAGCACCATTTACAATATTCACAATCGGACAACTGCGGATTTAGTTCCGAAAGACTTTCCCCATTATTGTAAACTCAAATTCCAGCAAAAGAGGGATGCTTTAAAAATGTAATAAGCCGCATCGAAAAGAATATACACCTCAGGTTTCTGAATTTGGTTTGAACCGAGATTGTTCGAAAAAAAAACAACCACATACTTCATCATCTGACTTTACACTTTCAAAATATTCCAGCGATTCTTTTGCCAGTCCTGCAGTTATTAAACTTATAGTGAGTCACCAAACTAAGTAAAAACTCCGCACAGACAGGGCGGATAAAAACGATTTCAACTAAGTCCTTCATTGCTCTGCTGCTTTCTCTTTCTTCTCAATTCCTATTTTCTCTTGCTCGACAGTAAACCAGAAGTTCTTGTCTGCTTCATCGACCAACTCAGAGGCATCCTCGCCGTCATCTTCAGCTGGCCTGGAATATTTTTGCGATGAAATAATGTTCGGGTAAACGGAAAGAAGTATAGAAATAGGTACCAGTTAATAGCCTACAATATTGTCCTGCACTATCGTTAAATATACTCATACATGAATAAATATTATACAACGATAGTTTTTGGGGATTTTAAAACTAACGTGCAAAATCTTCAATAATAAACCAAAATCTGAGACGTTAATAAAATTTGGGGATCAAGTCATTAATTCAAACGGTTAATCTGAACAAATTTGAAAATGTGATTCAAGGAGAGTAAAAGAAAAGCGTATTCAAAAGGAAATTACATACCGTTCCTCCTGTTGAGACTTTGCCCTCTCCTTAAGTTTCAATTCCCTATATCTGCTCTCTAGAATCTTCTCACGTTTTGTTTCTCGTTCGAAGATTTGTGTTACTGAAGCTTTCTCGTTCCTCTGTTGTTGTGACAGGGCTGAAGAAAGTTACTTGTCAGTGACAATGATACTGACGAGCATATTACAATCATTACCGAATGGTTTTAATAAGGATTAGCAAAACGAATGCGAAAAATACTAACATTCGCTGAGTTCAAGAAGAGTGACGTTTCCTGAGTGAGAACCACAGGCTAGAAGACTACCACTGTCTTGTATACGTAAGCAATTCAAAGCTTCGTCACACACCTGCAATATTAGCAGGTTTTATTTTAAAGGTTATATTTATTGGAGGATCATGATGACTATTGATACAATTAATACAGTGTTATTAACAATTCATAATAAGTCTAAATGTCCATTAAGCAGTCTGAGCAGTCAGCAGTCTTAAGGTCATGATAAATTTACCAGAAACATAACTAAAACCACTTGCACTTGGAAACCACTTTTAAAATACATAAATACATAAATCATCAACTTTAAGATTTGGGAAACAGTTTATTTTGCACTTAGATTCGATAAATTCGACGATTTCATAAACCTTTGGTTCAAATTGGATTCGACAGAAATTTAATTACAACGAAACCAACTCCTTAACTATAAATAATCCTAAACAGTCAACTATTACATCCAACACCTCAGTGATTGGCTCGGATAAAATACCACTAACGAACTTGTCAAATCTGGTGAATTGCTGTATTAAATTTACAACGACTTCATTTAGTGCATAATGATAAACCGTTTTCAACAAGATTATTTACGATACAGGACTTTGTGTGGAGATTTAGGCAGAAGAATGAACTGTGGCTCATTTTTTATTATATTTAGGTCAAGGCATAATAATACTATATAGAGGTCAGCCATGATCTGTTGAGCTCGCAGGACTGAAAGCTCTTGCAAGGCGGGTCTGGCTTTAATTGTAAGTAGGTGCAGGTCGTTTCATTTCCAGGGATAGCAACTTTATTTTGTTTAAAATAAATTGTGTAAACTGCTCAAAAACCCTTTGGGTGGCCTTCGGGTCTTTGAAACAAAAAAAAAAGATTAAAATGGTTCGTGTCTTGCAAGGTGACGTCCTTCGATATTTTTTAAATGAAATGGAACACAAGAATACAAACAATTAACAAACCTGGAGACTAAGAGTTGGATCGTTCTGTTTGAACATGTAATCCCAAACGTCTAAGCACCCGTCCATACGCGATGTGAAAAAGACAGCAGGTCGAGCAGGGGACCAGCAACCGTCTGTCAGATAGGATCTGTGGAACCTGGTAAGAGAAGAAGGTTAAGAACCTGGTAAGAGAAGAAGGTTAAGAAGGAGAAGAAGGTTAAGAAATTGTACATTTTTATGAATTGTCGTGTTCAATTTACAACGGCTTGAGCAATACAATTTCATTTTATATCCATTAAATTTCATAATCACTTGTTAACAATGTCACAGCTCATGGTTACTTCATCATCATGGTTACTTCCTCCGATATAATCATTTAAAGATTGAAGTTACAAATTTAAATGATTAAAGTTATAGGTAAAGGTGAGACTTCCTCTGTTTTTTAAAGATTGAATTTTACGATTAAATGATGACAATTAGAGATCATATTGGCAAATAACCGAGTAATTCCAAGTTTTATTTCCCCTCCCTCCCCCCTCCCCCCCCCTTTAGATGGGCTAGACAGTAATATTTATTGAACTAAATGGTTTGGTCTGTACCATTAATCTACTTAAGGTGGTCTACAGGGTCCATTTTTGACACCATATTTCATAATGGCTACTGGAACACGTTAACTGTAAAATTTAATAGAGAAAGCTATTAATAGATACAGCAATTATACTTATTTACCTGATACGTGCTGCAAAATATCCATTAATTTAAAGGTGAATTCATCAGAAAATGAGAAAAGGTTGACAAACTGTGGAAGGTCCGTTAAATTTGATAAATGTTACAATATCAGAATAGAAGTGTTTTTGTCCGGAATGTCTTAAGTGAGAAATCATATTTATTTTACATATAAGTAGGTAATAGGTTTCATATAAACAATCATATCATAATGTTAAATCTTTTTAATTTTTATTAAATACTTTTCAAATAAATACATCAAATACCACCAATCACCAAAGAAATCTTAAATCATGTTTTAGGTCGTGAATATCCGGAAATTTCAATATATGTCTTTTCCAAATTTTTAATCTCGAAGGTTTAAGTTTAGTTTTCTCCAGCAGAAGTCAAAAACTGATAGTTTGAATTATTTTAGAGAATAATAGAAATAATCTGTAGTGACATTTAATAAAAAGTAAAAGATTAGGGATGAAACCTGTGGGGAGATGATATTAAACCACCAGTGGATCACAGAATGAGACATAACCGTCGTTATCAGACTGTCTTTGTCACCTATTATATGTGAAGTGCGAACCTTCTATCAAAGTATTGATTCCCTTGTAGCCTTGTCTGTCATCATGTAGCATCTCAGTATTTTTAAAATATGACATTTTTATAATAAAATTCAAAGAAATCCGTCTGGGGAGCTGTTTTATTATTTATGATTTCATTGCTAGTTCATATGTTTAAATGATCAGACTCGTTAGAAATCAAAACGCTGGTGTCATGAGGCGGCATAATTCTTAAATTAAATACCAAATACAAGATGTTCCATTTGACGATAGCCGCCGTGTTGATATTTGATAAAAATAATGGGGATGAGAAGCATTTAAACGTTCAGACATCTACACAGTACACATGGACAGCAATTGGGGCAATAGGGAAATAATCTTACTTACAGTTTCAATACATATTTGTGCAAAAATGTACGCAATAATAATATATATTACATTTACATAGTCATCAGCATCATAAACAACTTCAAAATTCTCCATAAACCAGAACACTGCAGTAAGTTGTTTCTTATAGACAACATTCATTGATCATCCAACAGAAAAGTCAACTTGGCAACGATGTCAGGGCAAAATGATTTAACACGTGACAGCGAGGGAGAAGTAGTTCACATTCGATTGAACTTTGTGCTGTGTCATATCCATCGTTTCAGCACTCTTGACCACCTCTTCTTTTAAGTGGGCGGTGGTAACAAGTACCACTGTAAGAAGGGCATTTCAGCATCGTGCTCATCCTGGTCAAGTTCCGTGACAATGATATGTGGATTGGTGGTAGTTTGATCTGAGAATCTTCAGAAATGGTAATCCGCACACTTCAAGTTTGACACAGACGAAGTGGTGATGAGACTACCTCTGTTCAATTGAGAGATTCCTTGACTCCGCACCTAACATGAAGTTGGGGAATTTCTTTGAGATTTATTCCGAATGTTATGTCTATAAAGGAACTGCGTCGCTGTTCTGAAGCACTCTTTTCCAAGTTCAAGGATTGACCTGGCAAACTTATTAGTATTACACTCTTTTGAAGTGTGATGTGATCTTCGTTCATTACATCAGACAACAACTTCCGGCTCAGTCTCCAAGACATTCACAACTGGAGATCCTCGCTGCACAATGGCCAGCTCCATGTGGTTGCTTCTGCGACATGCACGTGGATTGTAGATTCCCACCACCCTTGGCTTACTGTAACCACTGGCACTACCAGGTTTCATTGATTTCCAGTTACAGGTAATCAACGACCAGCAGAACGCTCTTAGCCCTTCTCTCCTGCAGAAGAAGATGATGACATTGGTGGTGGAGTTTAGTGCCACAGAGTGTAATCCTATCAGAGTGTAGATGAAGTCGAGAACATGTACAGGTAGACCAAGTTGCTGCATCTGAAACTTGAAGTCAGAGAGGATAGTGATTGACTCCAGAAGGCACACTATTATCAGAGGTGTGTTGAAGATGATGTAGGCTGATGTCAGATAAATTGTTGTTTTTGTTGCCTCTATCTTCTCCAGGGCGCCTTTCGGAGTGCTGAATTTCTTTTGTCGATTCAGCAGGCAGATGATGACAATGCAGCAGACAACGATTGGAATAGCAGGAATGACAAACTCCAGGGTGACAAAGCCGAAGTGGACCACTTTGAACTCCATTGAGTGCAGCTCAAAGACATCAGTAATGAGCCAGGTACACATGGAGAGCCTACGTGCGTACCAGAACGACTTTCCAGCGAAGATAGGCAGTGCTTGTTGGCCTACTACTAGAGTGAGGTAGAGTAGTATGGGGATGAAGATGGAACTCATCTTGATCTTCATGAAAGGGTAGACTAGAGAAACCGTCCGACAGACACTCAGGACAGCAACCAGGAAGATAGAGAGACGAATACAGGCCTGCCAGGTAAACGCCCAGCCTACACAGAACCACCGGTACCCAAACATCATGGGATCTCCATCGTTAAACTCCGACATTCCATTAAAGAGGAGAAGGAATGTTATGATGCTGTCCACTGAGCTGATCATCATGTGCTGGATAGTACTGATGTTTCTTTCCCTGGTGAAGAAGTAACCGAATGTGATCAGGCTACCAGGCATCCCAACAAGGCAGCTGACTAACCCCATGGTTCCTAGGGTATAGTCAGCGATCTTGTGGTTGGCTGCGTCTGTCGCGTAGTGGAAGCTGCTATTATCATTTGACATCCTGTATCAAAAAACATAAGTAATAATAAGTGATAAGTGATAACAAATTTAATATGGACACCTAGAAAACGCTTAATCCCTGGCTTGATGAATTATGTATCATATTGAAATGTGGACGGGTTTTATATAAATGCCACGGGCCAACACAGTGTGAACATTGTCCAAACTGAGGAAAAGATAGCGCGGATGCCGTGAACTTGGAGCGGGCAAAATTAGATTGACCAACAATGATTTTATTGTTAGTCGTTGCCGAGGAAGCACTAAGTAACCTGCACGGCTGATGGAATCTCATTGGATTTGCAAGTCAATGAGTTTATCTTTTAAATGACTAGCTTTAAACGATGACCATAAGGCAGTTTGCAAATGACTAACGTGCTATATGCATTATGCATTATGCTGTTATATCGTCACATAAAATACTGTTACCCCCAACTTATATTTCTTTGACTGGACGAAACTCGAAATAGCTATACAGTTGTCATAATACAGGACGGTTACCAAAGAAGTATTAAGTCAAAGTGCTAAGTTCTCGACTACAAGAAGGGGCGATATACAAATAAAATCATTTTATTTCAATGAAAATTCGCCGAATAATCTTACAAGCCTTGAAAAGTGACCGAGTGTAAACAAAATTAGGGACACAGAAACACCTGTTGACCAGTAAACTGGTCATAGCAATTACATCGGGCCCTATGCTTGCGATTTATAAGAGCGTTTTTGATGGGCGTTTTTTGGTGGATCCTCTTATTTCTTAAGGGTACTCAAATACTCCAGGTTGCAGCATAAAAAGTAAAATCAACTATATATCATAGATGCGACAAGCTTGAGCTTTGAACATGATTGTATTTATACTGCAATTTCTGGCTTTTAGCGAACATTAACAGCTTTTTGCGAACGTACTAGCTATAGGTTTTTTTTCCCAATATTTAAGTATGTAATCGATTTTTTAACAAAAAAACTTCGAAATGCATTAACATATATTAGTAAATGTACCGCTTCGCCATGTTTTACAGCTATTTCATGTTATTAAGAAAATGCGACACGCGCACTTGAAAAAGTTTATAGCTCATATGAACAGGATTGGTAAAGCAAATGTTTTCGTATTAACCGCATCAGCCAAACATCAATAGTCAGCTAGATTGGTGCCACTGAAATCAGGGCGAAGTAACCCATTAATATGGGGTAACTTCGCCATTCTGAAACTATACCATATTCGGTGCTAAACACCATACCACCCGAAACTCCATTATATTTCCTTGATATACCTGCCAATTTTATTTATGTAGCTCTAGCCTGCGTGTTCAAATGGGCTAATGGGCAATTTTGTCAGGGGGGTATTTATGAAATTTCTCTCGAAATAGTTGTTTCTGATAGAAGGGAGTGATATCTATCTGCTACTTTTGGTCCCATGGAAAAACATTGTTCCTAGCCAAAGATATTGCCGGTCAAAGGTCAGCGTTCATGTGTAATTGTATTGCGCGAGCGATTGTCAATCGCACGCCCTGAAAGTCGAGTCTAAAAATCTATCTTCTCCTACATTTTTTAAGCAATCACCTTAAAACTTTAAGGATATGTTCTAAGGACCATTTAGAAGATTCCACTCGATCAGAATTTTAAGATAGGCCTTAGAAAATTTTGTAATTTATTTTGAAAATCTTGGACCTCGTTTTTTGACGATTTTTCCAGGTCCAAGATTTTCAAAA